CATGTGAAAAGGAGGGATGAAACGCATGTTACAAAAAAGCCATGAGTATAAATGTGGATAGATGGAGAGGGAGAGGGAGACCAAAGAAAATATGAATGGATTGTGAGAGAAATGATATGGAAGACAGAGGAGTTAGTGATAGCGTGACGGGTGACAGGACAGAATGGAAGAAAAAACATATTGCGCTAACCCCAAATAAAACGTTTAGCGTGTTAAGGTTAAGTTCGCATAACATGATCTACGCTTAAAAAAGAATCGCTGTATCCTATTTTTTTTTCACATGCAAAGTTGTAATTTTAATGAAGGAAAAATTCTGGATTTATGTTTATCATATTTTTTTTTTGCTTATAAAAACGTTGCGTTCTGCTATGATTTTCTCCTGTGCCGCGGCTGCGTTTACAATTATACTAATTATGATATATTCATTTCGTTGCCCTTATTCTCAACTTGCATACGAAAACAACCACCTTAGTTTTGAAAAGTTTGTCATGCTTATCCCTATAATTATGAAACACCATACAATTTCTCATGTGTACGCTTCGAATTATAGGCGGCCATATCTTTTAGTAATAACTAAGTTGGTACTACCAGTTCGATAGATCTTAATTTTAAAAAAATATTACAAATTCAAATAAGTACATTTGTCTTAATTTGACTGAAATCCTTCAAAATATAAACACTCACTTTGACCTCACCGAAAAATGTATTATTAATTACTAAAACGTGCAAAGAAGGCCTAATAATATCCGCTGTAAAATTAAAATGAATAAAATGTGAACAATTACAAAGAATGTTAAGACTTCCAAGGTTGATTTCCTTTTTTGTCTTGAAATACGTAAGTAACCTTTCCTTACTACCTAATTGATATTACTAGTGAAAGTTTTTATTTAATATTGGAAAATACGTCATGATTTTGCATTTTGAAGGTAAAAATGAAAGTCGAAATGATAAAAGTATATCTTTAATAATGGGAAACCATTAAAAATAATATGATTTCTCAGATAAGCATATTATACAATTTCAACGATGGAAAAAAATACCCCACACTAAGATTTACTCCTGTGTCGTGGGAGCGTTAAGAAATATGCAATTTCGAATACACATTACACCCAGATCCGGAACAACAATTTGTTGATGACAATGAGTTGTTGAATCGAACCATCGATACGTTGTATGGTAGCCGGTCAACTATACAGTCAGCGTGTTTCTTAGCTCTCTCCAAATTTTAAAGTTGAATATTAGAAGAGAGACTGTGAATCTTCTTATTGAATTTTGGCCCTATATCCATATATATCTACTTCTGACTAAAGTTTTATGTTTTTTATATAATTACAATACTATAATGATTCTCTAAATCATGCTATAACCATAAATTCGAAACCACTCTCATGTACCTAATCGGCAGACACAACAAGAATCTGCTATTCCCCTTTTTGTCAGTGTAACGAGCCTTTGCTTCACCTGACGGTAAGCAATCGTCGCCACGTATTAACACCTGCAACACCAGACTAGTTGTAAGTGCATTGCCAGCCATTTAGAGGATAGGAATTTGAGGGAATGGAGCTCAAATTGGGCCATCCCTAACCTCCCTCATACAGCAAAACAGGTGTGGCGGCGTGGTTAACGATGTGAGCCCGAGGTATTTTACTCTGGTCAAGGAGGCCCACGAGGCTTTACACTTTACTTAACAAGGGTTTTAGGTAATGTTATGATGTCTTAAAATATTTAACAACCATTATAAAATTGTATCATTCCTAATACCCAGTGGTCAGTAACCACCCAAGTTCCGCATAACTCACAGTCAACGAAAAGTGTAATCAAAAAACGTTCAAACGCGTGACCTTACGACTGGCTGCATGTCTTTTACTTCCTATTATTAGTAACTACAGACTACACAGGAATAGTATATAAAGAGAATTGGTAGCACTGATTAATCATTCACAGTTTACTTGTGGAACATTAACTAAATACAATGGCAGCTAAGGTTTGTTTTAATATTTCTTTGTTTAGATTGTCGAAGTGATTGAAAAGTATTGACAAATAAGTTCTCAAAGGATTTCTTTTGGGGTTTATGGACCAGGTTTATGGGCTCAAAGGAATTTTAGAAAGCAATAATTTCCCCAAGATATTCATATTTTTGTGTGTAATATTAATGAACTGACAGTGAGTGATTGGGTGGCCTTAATGATTGAGTTATCAAATCGCGGATATTTAAATTTATCAAATAAGTTTAAAAATTTGTTCATTTTATTTCAGTTTGTGATTGTTGCTCTGCTGGTGGCAGCTGCTCAGGGCAGCGCTATCCATGGTGCTGACTACACCAGCTTCTCATACGGTGTGTCCGACCCCCACACCGGCGACGTCAAGAGCCAGCACGAGACCCGCGTCGGAGACAGCGTGGTCGGCCAGTACTCGCTCCTCGACTCTGACGGCACAAAGCGCACCGTCGACTACGCCGCTGACGCTCACTCTGGATTCAACGCCGTCGTCCGCAAAGACCCCGCCCTGTACGCTCACGCCACCCCCGTCGTGGCTCACGCTGCCCCCGTTGTGGCTCACGCCGCTCCCGTCGCCTACGCCGCTCCCCTCGCCCACGGTTACGCCGCCGCCCCCTTGGCTCACGGCTACTCCCACGGCGTGGCCACCTACGGCGCTGTTGCCGCTCCTCTGGCTCACGGTGCCGTAGCTTACGGCGCTCACGCTGCTCCCCTCGCCTACAGCGCCGGAGTGTACGGTGCTCACGGCGCTCACGGACTGTATGGCGCTCACCTGTACTAAATAAAAAATATGATAATATTTATTTATACTGAAACCCCAATGAATAATGCTGTGATCAAATAAAATAGTACGAAGTACCTTACTATCGTTGTTTAATTTGTTACTTGTGTCAAATAATTCAGAGATAGCTATTGGTAATATGCTATAAATAACATATTACCATTGGCTATCTCCTTATTTTTAGTTAATTGAAAACAGTTGTAAACGTTAAACAAATGCGGTCATTCCATAGTAAACCCAAGTTATCATAATTAAAATTCAAAAGCAATTTAACCTGTGCAGGGTAATAGCACAAATTATAAAACAGAAGGTCTAACCGTATCCGTAGATTTAATAATCTAGTAATAGACCAAAACTTGAGTGCAAAAATCTAGTTTACCTTGAATGACGGTACATTGTACTATATAAATAATTATACTATTAGAACTAAATCTTGTAAATATACGGAAATTAAATAGCGTGAATAGTAAGAAATGTGTCTATTACGCAAATTTTGGTCCTAATGTAAATAACACTAGTAAAACTGTGGTGCTTTAAGTACATGACTTAATTTTATCTCATTTCCTAATATAAACGTTAGTTATAAACATTATCTAGAACTAATAAAATGCAAATTACATATTACTTGGTTACACAGGGTTACACTCAAAGCTGAGATTTTATAACTTCATGTTAGAAGTGCAGTGTTAACTAGTATTAACTAAGGAAAGCTCAATAATAGTTTTGTCACAAGGAGACTATTATTGACAAGCAGCGTGCGCGTCATGTGTAAGTCGTTGCAACGCGCAACTAGTACAACTTTTCTTTGTTAATACATGAGAGTAAGTCGTTATTTCTAAAATTATCTTACGATAGTTTTTATTCAAAAATAACATGTAAAACAATAAAAATACTCGAAAAATTATCCAACAATTTTGAATTATATGTTTGTTAATAAGTTGACATTCATTGATATATGGATTTGGTTTTTAGTGCCTAAATGCGACGTTCCAAATTCATTAAAATTAATCTAGGACGACTATTTAATTAGTTTCTTGCCTGATTTTAAACTTTCTCATGTATCTTTACAGTGTACTACCACGCCACGAAGGGGTAATTTGAGTGTGGGAAAAAGAAAGAAGTCGGCTGGAGCCATATCTGGTGAATATGGTGGCTGCTCGATGGTGTTTGTTGAGTGTTTGGACAAAAAATCGTTTACAATGATGGCCTTGTGCGAAGGCGCATTATCGTGATGCAAAATCCAAGAATTTTCTTTCCACATTTCTGGCCTTTTTCGTCGAATTTGTTCTCTTAAACGCCGCATAACGCTCAAATAATATTCTTTATTTGCCGTTTGACCTTCGGGCAAGAATTCTGAGTGCACAACACCGCGATAGTCAAAGAAAACAGTCAACATGACTTTGACTTTTGATCGACTTTGACGTGGTTTTTTCGGTTTTGGTTCAGTTGGAAGGCGCCATTCCGAAGCTTGTTGACTAGTTTGCATGTCAAACTCGTAAACCCACGTCTCGTCACCAGTAACAATGCGTTTCATGAATGTTGGGTCGGTATTGACTCGTTCTAGCATGTTGTCAGCGACTTTCGTGCGATTTAGTTTTTGAAGAAAATTCAGGTCTTTTGAGACTAGCCGAGCGGCAACACGTTTCATACCCAAATTATTTGTTAAAATGGTACGGATCGACTCGTGAGATACAGAAAGTTCGGCGGCCATCTCTCTCAAACTTGAATGAGGATTTTCAGTCACTATTTCCTTCACTTTTGCGATGTTAACTTCAGTTGCAGACGTTGATGGCCTACCAGAACGAGGCAAATCTTCCATCACATCTCGACCGCTTTTGAACGCTTTGTACCACTCATAAGCATATACGTGTTTTTGATAAAGTCGATTCACCGTAAGCCTTCTGTAACATTTTGAGTGCCTCCGAACACGAAATTTCATTGGCGATGCAAAATTTAAGACCAACTCTTTGTTCGATATTTTTGTCCATTATGAAGTTCGCAATACACACTAGATATTATAAAACTAAAAACAGCACTGTTTTTAATATAAATAACAGATGCAACTCAAATTCCGCGCCAAAATGGAAAACAGTTATGCCAATCAAACAACAACAAAAAAAATTTAAATTCGAATTTGGAACCATAAAAAAACCATTCATTCCCGATACTTTGTTGACTGAATGTAATATCAAGGAAGTTTAGCTAGAAGTGAACTCTCGTAATTCGTATGTTTACAACAAGGACAGTAGGTCAGTTCCCTAGTAGCTAACACATCATTGAATTCCACGGCTTTTGTGCAACTCGTACGGATCGTTAATTTAATTATATCATTGTTACACTATGTCTCTTGAGAATATGTCTGTATTTTGTAATGAGTCACAATTCTGTTACTGAGAAAAAACTTTAGCTATTATTACATTTGCTTCAAGTTCAATTCAAAGTAATTGATGGATATCGAATGCATGATGTTAATAACAGTGTAAAACATTTGCTGTCAGACCTTGTTACGCGCTTAATTTGAACCTGTCAATAAACTTCAAAATGAATTTCATCAATCTAAAGAGTTTGTACAATGTGACAGCGGGTACTATGATGAGAATGGAATGAAATAAAATACCGGAACTTCGAATTCATAATTTATTAGTCGTCTAAATCACAGTTCAGTTGCAGTCAGTTCATCACCAGGCCAAACCAGCTCCAAGAGCCGAGGCACCAAGAGCCGGGGCACCGTACGCACCGTGACCATGAGGAGCTGGGTGTGATACTGAGTTAGCGTAACTGTGGGCAACGCCGGACGCATGAGGGTTGATCAGTCCATGGGCATGAGGGTTAGCGAGTCCATGAGCTAAGGGAGCTCCATATCCACCGTAAGCACCACCATATGCTCCACCGTAGGCTCTGTTGTAGACTCCGTTGTAGGCTCCGGCGTAAGGTCCAGGGTAGGGACGAGCAGCATTGTGAACAATAGAGTGGGAATAATGAGATACAGCAGGCGCTCCACGGTTTCCAAGATGACCAGCCAATGGGTTGCCATATCCGTTAGCGTAACCTGGGTACGCTAAGTTACCAGCAAGACGGTTCGCGCCATACGCTCCAAGGTGGGCAAGCGCACCTGAATGAGAGAAAGCTCCAGGGTGAGGAAGAGCTCCAGGGTGTGGAAGAGAACCAGGGTAGGGGAGGGCCCCAGGGTGGGCAAGAGCGCCAGCATGAGCCAGAGCTCCAGGGTGAGCGAGTGCTCCCGAATGAGCGAGAGCACCAGGGTGAGCTAGGGCGCCAGGATGGGGAAGAGCGCCATGGGCTAGAGCTCCTGGATAACCAAAAGCACCAGGATTGGCTAAAGCGCCAGGATGAGGAAGAGCACCGGGATGGGGTAGAGCAGCATGGTGGGCAAGAGGACCAGCTCCAGCCAAAGGAGCAATAGGTGCAGGGTGCACTGGGCCAGCGACAGGGCCCAAAGGTGTTTGATGTGCTACAGATCCATGTGCAGCTCCAGCTAGCGGAGCATTAGGTCCGGACGGATGAACTCCAACAGCAGGCTCTTTGCGGACAACAGCATTGAATCCAGTGGCGGCGTTAGCAGCATACTCGACAATCCTTTTGGTTCCATCTGATTCCAGAAGTGAGTATTTTCCAACGACACTGTCACCGACTCGCTTTTCGTGCTGATCTTTGACGTCTCCGGTGTTGGGGTCCGATACACCATAGGAGAAGCTTGAGTAACCACCACTGCCGTAGACCGATGCTACTAACAGTGAAAGTACAATGAACTGGAACAAATAAATTACGATAAGATTAGTGAACTCAGGAAGAAGGCCTTTTCTAACAATCCGGCAAAGACCGCAAGAATTAAAAAAGAAAATACTTTTTTAAATATATGTTTTATTTTACCTTAGCTGCCATGGTGCTATGTGTTCCTCTGTGACTTTGGCTTTTGAATGATTTAACCCCGTCAGTTCCAAATATTTATATTCACACCGAGTCTCCGCATTGTAGTTTTGGGGGTCATAGTTTGAAATCATTGCGTTCACATCTGCTCTTAAGTTTCGAAAGATTCTCTTTCAGAGGTTAATTAGGAACTGAAATGCCTATTATGTAAATTAATTTTTCGCTTAGAACGGTAACATTGGCCTCGTTGATGAGTTAAATACATGTTTAGATGTCGATTTGCTTGTTAAAGATGATATCTTTTAATTTCAAGTTGTTGGTTTAAAAATTAGAAGCATTATAATTATAGAGAGCTAAGTGATGTTTGAGATGTATGGGAATAATGTTGTGTGGTATTTTACGAGGTTCAAAATACTACCATCGACTTAAAAATGTGATTCTTTAAGCTTAAACGAGTTTATTTTTAGCCGTATGAATCCTTTCAATTAATAATTAATAGAGATTTGAATAGAAACTAGGTACAGTGTCAAATGTCACGCATTACAATATTGTGTATTTTTTTAGTATACATTACATATATTCATACATTACATATGTATTAAAATTCTTTATGATTTAATATTATGTGCTGCTGGAATATGAAGCTTCGGATATGTTATGGTGTTACACAAAATGGACTTAGGTCTTTGATTAAATTATATAAGGGGGTAGCCAAATGCCATGTTAGCACAAATCCAAAATTACAATAAAAATCTCAGACCCCAAGAGGAACCTATACCATTATTAAGATTTCTGAACTTACATACAGTTTTTAACTTACCTACGAGCCAGCTAAAAAGCAATATATTATTCTAAAACATTTTGAGTATCTCCATATATATTATTTATTCTTTATCAGATTACATGAAAATCTCTTAATCAGAAAAATAACTATAACTTGTTCAGAATGTAGGCAAAATCTGACTTAATGAAATTCTTAGTCAGTGCATACCTATTTTAATGTTAATAAGCGCATAGAAGTGTGCAGTGCGTGGTGGTTAAGGCTGTCATGACTTATTGCAATTAGTTAACAATAAAATTGTTTATTTTTAATTAAATATCAAGTAGCTGATCTCTTTCGTTAACCTAATGTTTGCACGCTTGTCTTTTGAGCTGAGTTGGGTTAATATCCAGATGATAATTTACTTAATAAATTTCAGCGTAACGAATTATGGCATTGTTACCTTATTAAAATGACTTCTTTTATAAGTAGTAAAAATTTATGTTGCATTTACGTTTATTACTAGCCCGCAGCAACTTCACATGGGTGCAATGATGATACTCGTACTAACTATCTGACATTAGCCTTATCAAACACCTATTGACAATAAAACTATTCGCATAATGATAAATAATTTGAAGAACAAAAAACCAGGGATACGATGCCCAATAATGTACCGCGACCCTGACCTGAAGCAGTAGAAGGAACGGGGAGATTATTAATCACTAACAGAGGGGGTGTCAGACACCCCCTCTCATGATGATTCATCATCATCATCATCATCATCATCATCATCATCATCATCATCATCAGCCTATAAGTGCCCACTGCTAAGCAAAGGACCCCTTTTCTCATACGGAGAAGGTTAGAGCAATTATCACCACGCTTGCTAAATGCGGGTTGGCGATTTCAAACTTATTATTAGAAATTATAAGTCCAGGTTTCCTCATGATGTTTACCTTCACCGTATGTCAGTGATGTCTAAATAAATCATGATGATTATTCCCCTGAAAATGTCATATACGTTATGAGTGACTCTGACACTTTGGGTCTGGGTGTTATGTGTGTTTGTGAAAATGTATGTTTGTAAAAGCACCCACCCAGGTGAACGGTTGTTTCTTTTTTTAAATCTTCAAGTTTTACTTCTATTTTTCCGATACAATTTTTACATTCTGATTGGAATCAGGACCTTGTGCTCACCATATGAACACACAAAGTATTTTAGAATTCTATTACAAATATGTTAGAACTACATAAAGATGATAATATCTGGGTAGATAAAGAAACAATTATCCATAAATTATATTAGGCCATATCCATTACAAAACTTAAAGGTGGTTTACATGCTTTATCATAAGTCAGAACTAATTCTTCAAATGTTTCCGGCCAGAATGATTGCATATGTGCTGTAGATTATGAAAACCAACTATATAAAGGCAAGGAGAATCCAAAATCATCAGTATATTTGTAAACAATACCAAACAATGTTCTCAAAGGTAATTGAGTAAACTTAGAACTACAAAGAACAATTTGGTTGATAATTTGAAATATCCCCAGTACTTGGGAAAAAATGTATTTTCGTTGTCGAGTTCTTGCCTAATGTTGTCTAATTAGTATGTATTATTAAAGTTCTCAGTTGCACTAGTTACTATTCTCATTCGCTTACTAGATTCAAATTTGGTTCAGTGATCTTATTTTGATAAGAACTTCGGTTTATTTATAGTGCTCGTGTGAATTTGGTCAGTAGTGTTGTCAAAGAGACCGTAGATGGTGACAATTCGTGTGTGTTTGGCGACGAAACTTATGATAGAATTGGTTAAAAAATTTAAACATTTCTTTGGTATAAATCAGTCATTGCTATTAAATGAAATATGCAAATTCGACTAAGACTCCTTTTTTACAACTCGCAGTAGAATTGTTTTAGGTAAAAATAATTAAAACTTGAATGCGATAAAAGCTTAAGCGATATTATGACCTAGATTAAACTAGTTACTACTAAGACAATTATTTAATTCCGATATCATGATTCTGTTATTAAGTTATTAATAAATTCTTGATTGTATGTTCATTCAAGACTTTCGAAGTTACTATTTATATTTAAATATTCTTTTTTTAACAGTTCACTTCCATCGTCCTTCTGGTAGCTGTTGCTGGCTGCAGCGCTTCGGGAGGATCCTCGAGCTTCTTTTACGGAGTATCAGATCCCAACACCGGAGACATAAAAGACCAACACGAAAAGCGAGTAGGAGACAGTGTTGTTGGACAATACTCATTGCTTGAAGCTGATGGCACCAAACGTACCGTTGAATATTCCTCTCATCCTCAAACTGGATTCAATGCTGTAGTCCGTAAGGACCCACCTTATGGCGTCCACCCACCATCAGCAGTAGGATATAATGGAATTGCCTCAGCTCTCGGAGGATACGCCGGTAACAATCCTTTAGCATATGGAGGACTAAACGCATGGAACCCTGCTGCAAAATCAGGATATGGCAGTCCCTTAGTTGGGGCTTACGGTGGATACAATGGCGCTAATGGGTGGACTCAAAACTATCCTGCGAACGTTGGAGTCAATGGATGGCCAAACAACTATGGCGCTGCTGGAGTATATGGCGGCAACGGATGGTCTTCTACTTCTGTCACCTCTTGGCCTAATAAGGCTGCTGCTAACGTGTGGCCTAGCAACGTAGGAGCCAATCCTAGTCCAAATGTTTGGCCAAGTGCGGCAGCTGGTGTTGGCGCTTGGCCCCAAAGTTATGGTGCCAATGGAGTCCATGGTTCTAACGGATGGTCTCAAGGTTATGGAGCAGCTGGGTACGCTGGCTACGGTAACCGCTTAGGATGGTAAAAAAATAAATAAAATCGGCTCCAAATGAAACTCTGGACTTGGCTGTGATTTATGGTTATAGATTGTATTTATTAATGTTTGATCTCTAGTGGCATCATTAAGATAACTGAAAAACCAAAAAAATATGTTAAAATGTAAAATGAAAATTATACTTATTCAAACATCACAAGTTTTGTGTTCTTTATTTAAAATTTCGATTTTCTTTAGTAGGTATGCATATACATATATGTACTACATGCATACATGGAATCTTTTTAAATTATCATAAAGATGAAACACACCAATAATTTAGCTTAACTACTTTGAAACATGACATTGTTTTTAATTGACTGATTTATAACTGTATCAAGAAGCAATTAAGTAACAAATTAAAGGAGTGATATAAGACCGCTATTCATAATTAGTACGATATTACACATTTGAAATGTACATTTTTGGCAATAATTGCTTCCTGGTCGACAAGTTTTGAGAATTTATTTAGCAAAAAAGTTGCTAACAAATTGCTATTACGCTAAAATATCTCACAATTATTTATGTAGTACCAGAATCAGTAACCACAACATTCAAAAATAAACTTACTTACTTTTTTAGTTTAAGGATTAAAGTTGCATATAAGGTCAACTGAACTTAAGAATTCCGTTCATACAATAATATATAGTATATTCATACAATGATGTTAACGATCCTATTAAAAATGTTGGTCATATAATTCGGGTGACGGTCATTATTTCGTTGTGTCCAACGATGAAAACTATACCAGTATTTAATAATAAATATAAAAAAAAACATATCTTTATTAATCTGAGAGAAACTTTACATTTGTTTCCTCATCACAATAAAATAAGATTGAATTCTCTGAAACTATAGGGTTAGTGAACGTGCAATATTTGCAGATTTTTCGCAAGCTGACAAGCATTTTGTCAGATTTATCAAATAATATTTATTATATGCTTATCTTACAGTGTATGCTATGCTATTATATTTCTAGACTTCTCCTGGTTGTGCACAACTTCATACTGTATAGTAATGTATGGAAGTAAAAACTATTAATATAAACCAAGATACAGTCTCCGCGACGCGCCTGACGTTAATGTTTGGGTGTTTTTAGACATGTATCTGCTATAGATCCTGACTTAAATTGAATTGTATGAAGTGAAGAGAAGTGGTTTTGGAAGATTCATACTTGTTCCACCGTAAATCCTAACTTACAGGAATTTCGGCGGTTTGAAAAGATTTAGTCTGACTTGCTTAGCCCATTTAAATAAAATATTTCTAGAAGATTTCAAACAAGAAAGCAATAATTGAATGCTAATATTGCTAGCATCGCGTGGAGATTGCCTTGAAGTGCGAATGTAGGACAAACGCATAATGATACAGATCTAGTATCTACGCCGTTTGTAATAAAGTTTATAGTTGTTACTGTTTTTGGAATTACTTACTCGATTACTCATAACGATAGGATAAGACTGAGATATTAGGCGTGCGGTCGTGGTGGCCCGGAGGTTAAGGAGCCCGCTTCTCATGCATGAGGACGTGGGTTCAAAACTTGGCAAGTACCTACCAATGTGACTTTTCCCGAGTCATATGTACTTTCTAAGATTATTTAGACATCACTGACATACGGTGAAGGTAAACATCGTAAGGAAACCTGGACTTATAATAATTTCTAATTATAAGTTTGAAATCGCCAACCCGCAATGAACCTTTTTAATTTCGTACCGATCTTTACATGAACAAAAAGTTTTTAAACAAACAAAAAAATAACAAGCCAAAAGAATAATTGCTACAGAAATTAAAATAAGCGAACAAGAAAAAAAAAAGAAAACAATATAGGAAGTTCGAAATTCAAAAAACGAAAACGTCAGAATCGTTCTCAGAAAAGAAAAAAAACGGACCACAGATTAACAAAGCCAATGATGCGTGTTGGAAGATGCAATCTTGAGTGCCGCGGACCATTTCTCCGACGTCAGTACAAATTCTCATCAGTGACCTTGCCCTTCCGGATCCGTCGGCATCACAAAGACTATTTATTATTCTTGTCGTACGTTGTTGGAGTTCCGTCTGTTATTTTGTAGAGATAAAACGTTGTAGTAATAATAATAATAATGATTTTAGATTTTCACATCCCTGTTATGTGCATTAAACTACATAGCTGAAGAGCAAGAGAGAGAAAATGTAAGGAGGTTTTCATATAAATCAATTCAGACGAAATAATTAATGTTAAAACTACAATGAAAAACAAATGTTTTAAGATTTTCGACATTCGACTGATTGCAGTGCATGAAGGTAATTTTCAAAGTATGTAACTCAATGCGATCCTTATCAGCCAGTAAAGTTTAACAGGAACTTGTCTATAAATGAGTCTTAAATAAATAAATGTAAATAGTAATAGACCTACAAATCCACCAATAAAAGATAACAAAATCCAGTTCTCATTTCAAAATTCTACAAACGGAACCCGATCGAGCCTAAGAAAATGAACTTGGCTTAATTTTAAAGATCAACTGGTAATCATAGTCGTCAGCCACGCCCTCGCGTTGTGAAGCTCATATAAAAGCTTCTAGCGAACTGGACGAGTATCAGTCAACGAGTGGAAAACCTCAATCTATCGCAATGGCCGCTAAGGTGACTATTTTAATATCTAGTGAAGTGATATCAAGTTTAGTGATTTCTCGTAATATTTCAATTAAACAAATAGTTTTTTAAGTGTCATACCTAATTTTGTGTCTTTTTTATTTTTTATTCTCATATTTGTAAATGAAAACATTTCAAAGGAGTTTTTTAATGACTTCTTCGTTTATCAGAACTCGTTTTATAGTTAATTTAAATCAAAACATAATAATATATTTTTGTTTGTAAGGCGAAAATCATCAAATGACTTTCCAGTACCTTCAATATCTTACTTACTGACTTAAAACACCTCCGGTCGTAATCCTGGTCCAGGCTGAAGCCGAGGTGCCTTAATGCGCTTGCTCCGCAAATATCTTGATTTAATCTTTTAACTATAAGGCAACAATCACCCGTTATATAGTTTTTATTTGTTTGCTGTGCTGTGTTATCCTTGTTTCCTTTGTTCATTGTGTTTCTCTGTTTACCTGTATTGTTTTCGTTCTCTTATAAAATATGTTCTTTCCAGTTCGTCGTAGTTCTCGCCTTCGTGGCCGCAGCTCAATGCTCCGTAGTGCCAGTGGCGCGAGTAGACGCCGACTACACCAGCTTCGCATACGACGTGGCCGACCCCAACACCGGCGACTTCAAGAGCCAGGTGGAGACCCGCGTGGGCGGCAACGTGGCCGGCCAGTACTCGCTGCTCGACGCTGACGGCACCAAGCGCACTGTGGACTACACCGCCGATGATGTCAATGGGTTCAACGCTGTGGTGCGCAAGGACCCCGCTGTTGTCGCTGCTGCTCCTGCTGTGGTAGCTGCCGCCCCCGCGGTAGTGGCTGCCCGCACTGTCGCCGCCCCCGCTGTGTACGCACGCACATACGCCGCGGCTCCCGCATACTACGCTGCCCGCTCCTACGCCGCTCCCGCCGTCTACGCTGCCAGCGCTCCTGTTGTCGCCGCGCGCACCGTTGCTGCTCCCGTCGCGTACACCACTGGCGCCCGCCTGGCCTACACTGCTGGAACCCCAGTAGCTTACGCCGCTGGTACTCCAGTAGCCTACTCAGCCGGAGCTCGTTTCGTCGCTCCCTCTGTGTACGCCGCCCGCGTGTCTGCCGCCCCCGCGGTGTACTCCGGTGCCGCCTACTACGGATCTCCTCTGACCTACGCCGCCTACTCCGCTCCTGTCTCGTACTGGTAAACTCGATAGCCTTTAATGGCCTCCTTCGCGATAGACTACGACTTGTTCGATTATTTGGACGACATGTAAATATTGTTACTAGTTTGTACAATGTACATACATCCATGTATAAAATAAACCGAATGTTTTAAAGTAACCCGTCTGTATTTTTTTTTAATTTCGAATTATGTCACGTCTTGGTTATACAAGAGCTGTGGACGTGCATTAAATATAGAGCGTTCTTCAAAATAGTATGGCCTTGAATAAATTTTTTGATGCGCCTCTACCTTTATTCCCGATAGCAATTACGAATCGAGAACTAATGGGAATACCAACCATTGTGTTTTTTAAGAAGCCAAAATAATAAGTTATCTGCTAAGTATTACATAATTCGAAATATCTGGACATGTTTGTGACTACATTTCTTAAGTCCTTTAATTTATCAAACCTCATCGAACGCCGGCGTTTGCGCGCCTCTTCTTCTTCTATTGTGTCTCAAATTACCACAATGGAAAGATTAAAGGACTTCTTTTCTTTGTAATTAAATGAGAGCAAGCTATTAAACATAATTAAACAACACGAATGCGTAGTAATTACATGACTCAGTAGTAATTCGAAGTCTGGTCGGTTGAGGAAGCCGATGCAAGCATGAATAATAAACGAGTAACTGTATGTGTTTAGGATGTAATATTTGCTGTAGATAATAAATAATTTCAAATGACAGCTTATAAATTAACCATATTATTTATCATAAATATATAAAAATATACGAAACCCTTATCCCCAAAACGCCGCAACGCACTCGTTGCGGGTGGCGCACACAATAGTAATAACTAGCAGCCCGCCCCCGCTTCGCACGGGTCCAACTATCTCGCTATCAAAAGGGTCACTTTCTCCTAATTTTCCCCTCTACATTTCCAATATTTTCGTAGATAAGAACCTTCTCCTGACAATAACAAACACAACAAAAAAAGAATTAGCAAAATTGGTCCAGGCGTTGTTGAGTTATGCGCTTACCAACACATTTTGCGATCCATTTTTCGCCCGCGACTTCGTTCGCGTGGTTGTCGAAAACAAAACAACATCGTTTATATAACAGTAGGCTATACACATATAAACTCCACTCAAGAAAGAAATTTTTTTTTGCTATTTAAGGCCCTGACTGTAATATATATTTATTTACCTATACCTATACAATATATAATACCTATAAATATAATATATATTTATATACCTATACTATATTAGCGGTGGAATTACATGCTCCGGGCATATACAAAAAGGTTAAAATATGCTCGCATATTAAAGCTCAAATTGGATGATATGATAGTACCTACGCCATAAAAAAGAGCTCTTTAAACATGCACCTATTTCATCGGCCCTCGTTCCTCTGGGTATTATAGGGAGTGTCTGCCTAAAGTCTCAACAGAATAGCACCATTAAGCCCATCGGTCGGTCATTTTGTCTTATATCTCGCAACGTTCTATCTACAGCTTCCATAACTTTATCACTATTGCGAGAGATGTTGCAAACAGGGTTTTCTGTGCGCTCCGAGTCGATTGGTATTTTAAATGTTTTATTTGCAGTTTTTCCTCCTGGTAATAAAGTTGCTGCAGTTCCTGAGGAGGCCACCGCAAGGGCAATTTTGTTTTGGCTCCTTATTTGAGCCAAGATAACTTTGGTGAGGAAAGTTTTACCTGTTTCACCAGGTGCATCTAAAAACAATATTTTCCCTAAAGAATTTTCTACACTACAGCATACTCTATCAAATATTTGACGCTGTTCTGACGTCATATTTGAACAGCCATTTAGCCCTATTTCTGCTAACTCCTCAGGGTTGTAATTTATTTCTGATTTATTGGTTCCCCACCAGCTGTCAAGCCGTATTGACTAAGAAGGTTCCCTCCTATACTTATAACTATATCTTGTATAGCTAGCAAAGACTTATTATAGCAGTTTTCCCGTACTTGGTCAGAAGTTTCTCTATTACTATTTTCCTGTCTAAAAAAATCTTCGGTAAACGCGTCTTTATATTTTTGCCACAACTGCCCAGCGTCCGATAGGCCACAAAATGTCAATAAAACAAACAAATGACGAAGACGATGTGGACTGAAGATATCGCTGACGCATGCTTCGGCTAAAGCATCATCCCAATGCTGATCACCATCTAATAAAGGCCGTGGGCCGAGGGATATTCTATATCGTCCACTTTGCGGAGATCAGTAAAAGAAGTAGGCCCTCGCACAATGTGAAGAAGAAGGCTTATATAATAACACTCTGCATTATTTGGGTGCACCGTGTACACTCTTACAATCACGTGTTCTTTAAAAATGCCGGGCTCACCTTCTACAGCAGTTCCACGTCACCTGCGTTTAAAAACACCTTGCTGCTTGTTGTAAGTATAATAATGTGGCACTTCATTGTACAACAGAGACTTGGCGAAATTGTCTCTTTCGCAAAGGCGAAAAAAAAAAATGTCATGTTAAATCGGATCTGCGCTATGGTCTGGAAATTCTGCACTTATGACACTGTCTATAGCGTCGGGAAGAATTTTTTCTTCCAGCCACAAAAGAATGTGCGCATGGGGTAAACCACGCTTTTGCCACTCGACGCTATACATAAGACACAGAGTTGAACCGAAAACTTTCTCCTTTGTAAGTAGATTAATCAAAACTTTGAGTTGAATATGAAAAATCCTCGCAATAATGTCTTAATTAATCATTTAATCATTAATATAATCATTAATAATCATTAATCATGACGTATTTGCACAACGCCATCTATCGAATAAAGATATCAACTATCAACATTAGTTCTATTTTTTGTCTTAAGGTGTCGTTGCAAGTACTACCTATACGGATATGCGTGTTGTAATATTTTACTTCTTGACTCACTAAATTAATCATATCTTGTGATAGAGTGAACCGATTTCGATGAAACAAAAACTAAGTTATACCTCAAGTTGTGTAGAATTTTTGTATATAAGCATTGTCTGCATTGAATTCGTAGATTTTACGTGATGCGCGCACAAACAAACATATAAACAGACAAACAGACAAAAATGACAAAAACTACGAAAATGGGTTCGGTTAGTTATCCTTTGACACGCTGGCTATTTTTTTCTTCAATTTATTCAATGTACAAAAATTACTTTTCTACAGATTTATTATATGTATAGATAATTCATTGTAATAAATTATATCTATACTAATATTATAAAGCGTAGTAGTAGAGTTTGTTTGTTTGTTTGATGGCGCTTATCGCCGGAACTACTGGTTTGACTTCAACAATTGTTTTTGTGTTCGTTACTCCATTTATTGAGGAAAGTCATTACGCTACGATAAATTGAAGCTGAGGAGCCGGTGAATCAGTGCGAGATTAGCAAGTTTTATTATAATTTATATTCACTTTTTAATATTTTTAAATGTTTACAATAAAGCATAGAATAAAAACATTTTTGGAAGGTACAAAAGGTACAAAAAGGAAAAAGGCTTGCAACAATTTACCTACATAGTATTTTCAATTCAAAAAGTTCAGCGCTGACAGAATCGTTAGTCCCATGTCACTACACTGTCTTATCTTTAAAACGATGTCTACAAATAAAAGATATGTGTGTGACGACACATTTATCTTTTTTTTTGAAAAAACTTTTCCTGTAGGCGAAAAGATGTAGTGTTTGTTAGTAACAATTCCTGTTACGATATTAGCCAAGGTTGTGGTTATAAGGATTTTGATTGGAAAAAGTGAATGCCGGGCAAATTCGTTCCTTTTTAAAGGCTTACTTTCACTTTTGATTTTAAAACTTTATTTTTATTTTTTTATAAATTTCGTGAGACATACTAAATTAACTAAAAATCGTGCGTTACTCACGTGTATATATTGAGAAAAGCTCTACTAGTTTCGAACCACAGATTGGTGGACGCGGCGACGTCGCGCAGCTTACTATCCGCGCACGCTGCTCATGAGGAAGAACCCCTCTGTGGTTCGAAACTAGTAGAGCTTTTCTCAATATATACACGTGAGTAACCCGCAATTTTTAGTTAATTTTTATTTTTGTTTATAAACACCGTATAAATATCCGTTCGCATAAATAAAAATTAAGTTAAGTAGGGAAACCTATTATTAGTCTTACTAAACTGTATATTATTTTCTATTTGTTTCATTACGCAGTTAGTTTTCTTTATATTAAACTTGTTCGAGTGGAATAGTGACTTCCTGCAGATTTTTTGGTAAAAAACTATCCTATGTACTTTCTCGAGTTCCAAACTATTACTGTACCAAATTTCACACAAATAGGTTCAGTAGTTTAGGCATGAAGAAAAGATAGACAGACAGACAGAGTTACTTTCGCATTTATACATAATATTAGTTTTGGAAAATTAAATAAATAATGTTGATTAGAGTTTGTTATGTGGGTTTGTTCGGTTTTTTAGTAAAGTTGCCATAGGATTTTCTCCCGTGTCGTGTTACAAACATAATTTCACATACACACATGACAACCAACACATGAAAGAAAGAAAGAAAATAACTTTATTTCACACGCTAAAACATGTGACACATAAGATTCAGTACATACAGTTTATAGACCACCTACATACTAGTGTCCTAAGTCTGCGGTGAAATGGGACCAGTTCAGGACCTTGCGCTGGTATTCCACTGGCCCCTTAAGTGACTCGCAAGCGAATCACACAAAGAGTTTTTCCGAAAATAGACATATTCCTAATTACAGAAATTCAAATTAAAATAAGTATTTAAGGAGGACTTCGCGTAAAACAAACAACTTGATTTTGAAACGGAAATGTACGCGAGCCCTACTTGCACACGAGCAGTTTTATTATCTCGGAAGTCTCATTGATAAAAAGTTTCCAACTAGTCAAATTCAATAATTATGTTTATCCAAATGTCAAAATCGATATATTTCCATGAAAAAACTTATGACGTCATAGTATTTTTGCGTCAAATAGTTAACCTATTTCTTATATAGCTAAAAAATATCGAAAATTAAGGTATCGACAGATCGACGAATAAATCGACGTATAGTTATTTTCAATAGTTTATTGTATTGTAACGTCGAATTAATTTATTTTTGACCAAGAAAGCTACCCAATTTCCATTTCAATACCTTTAACAACAATAATTTTGTTTTTTAATAAATAATTAAATTGGGTGCTTCCTTAAGTCACATTCGCATCAAGTCACTAATGAATTCTTATAATTCTAGCTTTCGAGAGGTACGCGAAGAGGGCTGCTATTGATCATCTAGAAACATTTTTTTACGTAATTATGTCTCTCGCCCATTCAGAGCTATCAGACTCTAGTCTTTGGACTAACATTCACCCGTTCCTTCTCCTGTTCCATTATTGTGCTTGACACGCAAGCACCGCCGTCACATGATACTTAAACGTTACAAATTCGAAAAATTTCGTGTTTAGGCTACAGTCGTCCGTTTTGTTGTAATTGCAGTGATAGTTTTGTGATTAAAACATTAATAAGTCGATTTTTTATTCTCATACTCTTATGTCTTTGGATACCAAATTATCATAAGGAGTCCACCAGCAGAAGAATTAAGTGCGGGAATCGAAACCATTACGCTAGCCGCGCAGTTACCTTTGAAGCAGGGTACCGACGAGTATAAGGGTACGCTTCGATAAATTGAAAATATGGTTTTTATCTCGTAAAGCAGCAAAACCGCAAACTAATTACCTATTGGTAAGAAATCGTAGCCTTCCATTGACACCCATAAAACCAGTGCCAAAGCCAGAGAGAGAACCAGAGCAGTACGCTGTCAGCTTTCTGAGGGTTGGAAGGAACTTGAGGATTACATTACATTTGGATTGCACCTATGTTTTTCTTTGCGGCCGTCGTCCACTCCAATTGAGCTAACCTATTAGGGCTGATAAAAGGCTCTCTCACACATAAAATGTAAAAAAAATACACCAACATTTTTTTAGTAATCTTTTAAAATACAGATAAAATTGAGGATAAAACACTGAAATTGCAAAGAGTTTGACTTAAAGCACGTTGTATAAGAACTTAGATATCGAAACTATTATTTTAATCCTAATAAGTAACATTTTGTCTTTCGTCTTACCCAAAACTCGTTCTAATTACGACAAGTCTGTCGCGTCATCAGAATCCGGCCTATATCTCAAGTTCGCCAAGTGACCGCGCGTCGGCGGCAGGACAGCGGTATATAAGCTCGCTCTGGTATGTGCAGCGTATCATTCGATCAGTGAAGTACTTCAGGATCAACAATGGCAGCCAAGGTAGGTTGTCTGCTCTATATTTTGTGTTGATTATATTAATCAAATATTTGTCACATGAGCTCTGAAAATGAAAGTTACTCTATAATATTTTTATTTTAATACTTTGGTGAAGTTTAGAAATAGTGTTCATACTTAGTTATAAAAAAACATTATTCTGTTTATATTTATTTTAATCTCACTTTTTATTCCAGTTCGTAGTTTTCGCCGCCCTAGTGGCCATGGCTCACTGCTCCGTGGTGCCAGTGGCGCGAGTAGACGCCGACTACACCAGCTTCGCATACGACGTGGCCGACCCCAACACCGGCGACTTCAAGAGCCAGGTGGAGACCCGCGTGGGCGGCAACGTGGCCGGCCAGTACTCGCTGCTCGACGCTGACGGCACCAAGCGCACTGTGGACTACACCGCCGACGATGTCAATGGGTTCAACGCTGTGGTGCGCAAGGACCCCGCTGTTGTCGCCGCCGCTCCTGCTGTGGTAGCTGCCGCCCCCGCGGTAGTGGCTGCCCGCACTGTCGCCGCTCCCGCTGTGTTCGCACGCACATACGCCGCGCCCACCGTGTACGCCGCTCACGCCGCTCACGCCGCTCCCGTCTACACCGCTCCTTCTTTCTACTCGTACGGTGGCCCCGCCCTGTACTCCGCTCCCCTCACTTACGCCGCTAAGTGGTAAACGACGATGCGTGTGTTGCGATAATGGTGCTGTCTTGTAAATATATTAATTTAAGTAAAAAGTGAAACTACCCAATTTTGTTGTTTTAATTTTACACTAGTTATTTGTACACAACACATATCTATTTTTATAATAAATCTGTAGAAAGGTCAATTCTGTACATAAAATATATATTCAAAATAACTATCAGGGGGTGATTAGTGATCGATAATTCGATACTGATTTTTTTTACGGAATAGGTAATTCAGGAAAGGACTTAGGATAGTTTTTTTTAGATAGATCGGCAACTATGTGGGTAAAACCAAAAATCTGCCAGAATTCACTATTCCACGCGGACGAAGTATCTTGCTGAACAAACTGAAGAATAATAAAAATGCTGTACATTCAACGTTACAACTAAATTAAAAAAAATTGTAAACTTTGTAAAAATTCTCCCAAATAAGGGAAGCTATATTAACACTGTTTTATTCGAGTGACAAATTGAAAATTAGATAAAGAACGAAATCTTTTCCAATTGAATTTATCCAACATTTCGGTGTAAACCTTCATACATAATAAATAAACATATATTTTTTTATTTTTTTATTTAAGTTTCACCTTGGCATAATGTATCTTTCACCGGGAAATAAGTTTTATTATCTTTTGATATTGATTCGATACTGATAGTAACAATTATAGTAAAGATCAGCTGCCGGACGTGAGGGAGATATGACGATACGTACAATCATAATTTACTCATTCAGTGCAAGTGGTTAAACTGGTTTCATTGATTTCTTTTCAGTATACTGTTGTTCAATTCAATGACCGACCTTTTGATCAAAATGAAATAAATATTGAATAAGCTTAAAAACTTTGTTATACTTTTTATCCTTTATGCAAGATGGATACAAAATATTTATAGAATAGTTCGTTCATCTTGAGATTCCGAGATAAATACAAGTATGAGGATAATACCCCAAATCCCCAATTTCTTAATAGACTGAAAACGTAGTTGAGACTCTTTGTTTTTTCCATCTCATTTTTTAAGAGCTCTAGTTTTTCACGTAGCTGATCTTAATATGTACCACCAACAACGCACTTTTCTTTGGTTTTTTTAGGTTTACTTAGACTGCGGTATACCTGACCATCAGGGTCTCATAAACTTAGTTACTATGGACACTTGGTATACCAAAAGACATACTACAAGTGCCTTGTCGGCGGCTTGTGGGTTATTAGGATTATTAGGGATTTAAGGTTAAGGGGATTTGGGGATTATGTTTGGTGGGGCTGGTGGTCTGGTAATCGCACACGGCGAAACATAACGTATGTGTTGTTACACACGTCTTGTATTCTGTGAGGCCGTGGTATTACTACCGTCAAGCTGGCCCATTCGCGCCGAAGCCTGGCGTTCCCCCGTTTTGTTTATAGAGTATTGGAAGTGGTACTTTCTCGCCTTCAGTGTTACTGAGTTTCTGATACTCAATAGTTCATACTAAACCACTCTTAAACTTAATAGTTTATTAATTTTTTTAAGCCTTTGCCCGCAACTCCGTTCGGGTGGAATAGCGACTTCCTGCGGATAAAAACTATCCTATGTCCTTTCTCGAGTTCCAAACTACGTCTGTACCAAATTTCAGAGAAATCTGTTTGGTAGATAAGGCGTGAAGAAGAGACAGACAGACAGACAGACAGAGTTACTTTCGAATTTATAATATTAGTTTGGATTTATTAGTTTAGTTATTATTTTTTTTTTTATGTAATTGGACGGCAAACGAGCAGACGGATTACCTGATGGTAAGCAATCAGCGCCGCCCATGGACACCCGCAACGGAGGAGTTACGAGTGCGTTGCCTACCTTTTAGGGATTAGGGATTTGGAGATTTAGGAACTGGGGAGGGATTAGGGAAGGGGAAGGATTGGGCCTCCGGTAACCTCACTTACACGGCGAAACACAACAGTGTGGTTGTTTCACGTCGGTTTTCTGTGAGGCCGTGGTATCACTCCGGTCGAGCCGACCCATTCGTGCCGAAGCATGGCTCTCCCACACATATTATTAATTCAGTTTAAATATTCGGCTCGCACAAATCGAATCCTAAAACTGGAGACACAAATTAATTTACTAAGTTATTTCGTTTCGTTACAATAAAGTGTAAACGTTTCCCGATAATAATTATTAATTTTATTACACGTAACTTACCACATTATTGCTGTGTGTATAAAAACAAGATTCCGGTGTAGTACGTTTGTGATAGAGGTCGGTCAATCACAGCAGAACACGTCAACCATTTCGTTTCCTCATAGGTACAACTAATTTCATAATAATAAGATAATGTTGCTCATATCTTAAAGTTTAAGTTGTATGTACTTGCCATTGTAAGTGGCGGATACATAGGTAGTATATTCTGTTAAGTATCGAGTTTCTTTCACGGTTTTAAAAATAAAATTTCTCTTTAGTGTTTTCCTTTTTTTTTTGTTAGGTTGAAATCATCGAATTACTTCTCACACCTTGGATCGGGCGAGAGTGGGTATCAGTCTCTTACTGACTAAAAACCTCTCCATTTCTTCTCTCTAATTTTATTAATGAGAATCTTAATTGTGGTTTATAGTCCCTGAGTGCCTATATTGTATGGTTTTAATCAGTTAGGCCACAGAAAACCGTAGTGAAACAACCACAACATTGTGTTTCGCCGTGTGAGTGAGGTTACCGGAGGACCAATCCTTTCCCTCACCAATCTCTAATCCTGATTGCTGATTGCTCACCATCAGGTAATCCGTCTGCTCGTTGGCCAACCATAAAAAAGTAAGAATCTGACACTGTAAGTTATCTGTCAGGCTCGTTTTAATCCTCTGAAAATCTACTCCTCCGTGATTGAGTCGTTTTTGTGCCAGTCATCGACGCTTTCCACTGATCCTGCACAACCCATACTCGGAAGTAGCCGGGGTTGGAGTTTGAAAAGCCGGTGCATGAAAAACTCTTACGTCAAGTCGTTATAAACAACATGAAAGGAAATGTGAGTGCCCTGTGACCTATTATAATTGGTTAGACTAGCAGAATATCGGTCCTTATAACAGCTTGGAGTTGTCATGCTCACTGAAAGGTCACACTGGCGGTGGCATGGGCGCTTAATTCCCTATAATATGGTTGAGTTGGGCGATGCTGGTGTACGTGTCATGTTCGTGAAGGGGCGCCGTCAATTCGGACTGCTCAGCTCCAGACTGTCTATTGTCCTTAAGGTTCCTTTTTTTTATTTGAATAAATATTGGTGTTACACTGTTCTCACATAATTGAACCAACTGTTTGTAAAAGGAATCTGTATGTGAAACTGATTTAAAAATAATAACCATGGTGTTTCTCGCTCGTTCTTTTCCATCGGAATCTACACTTTGGAACGAGCAAATAGCTTCACTAAGAGGACTGACCGACAGACTGACACGATATCTTCAAAATTTTGTTTGACGTTCAAAAGTGCCTGTAAAGGTCTAATTGGAATAAATGATATTTGACTTTTTTTTACTTTTAAAATGGTAAAATTCAAACAACAAAATTAGGTAGTTTCACTTTTTACTTAAATTAATATATTTACAAGACAGCACCATTATCGCAACACATGTGTCGTCGTTTACCACTTAGCGGCGTAAGTGAGGGGAGCGGAGTACAGGGCGGGAGCACCGTACGAGTAGAAAGAGGGAGCGGCGTAGACGGGAGCGGCGTGAGCGGCGTACACGGTGGGGGCGGCGTGAGCGGCGTACACGGTGGGGGCGGCGTGAGCGGCGTACACGGTAGGGGCAGCGTGAGCGGCGTACACAGCGGGAGCGGCGACAGTGCGGGCAGCCACTACGGCGGGCGCGGCAGCTACCACAGCAGGAGCGGCGGCGACAACAGCGGGGTCCTTGCGCACCACAGCGTTGAACCCATTGACATCGTCGGCGGTGTAGTCCACAGTGCGCTTGGTGCCGTCAGCGTCGAGCAGCGAGTACTGGCCGGCCACGTTGCCGCCCACGCGGGTCTCCACCTGGCTCTTGAAGTCGCCGGTGTTGGGGTCGGCCACGTCGTATGCGAAGCTGGTGTAGTCGGCGTCTACTCGCGCCACTGGCACCACGGAGCAGTGAGCCATGGCCACTAGGGCGGCGAGAACTACGAACTGGAATAAAAAGTGAGATTAAAATAAATATAAACAGAATAATGTTTTTTATAACTAAGTATGGAAGAAATGGTGTTATTTCTAAACTTGACCAAAGTATTAGAATAAAAATATTAGAGAGTAACTTTCATTTTGAAAGTGCCTCATGGGACGATTTTTTTTATTAATATAATTAACACAAAATATACAGCAGACAACCTACCTTGGCTGCCATTGTTGATCCTGAAGTACTTCACTGATCGAATGCTACGCTGCACATACCAGAGCGAGCTTATATACCGCTGTCCTGCCGCCGACGCGCGGTCACTTGACGAACTTGAGATATAGGCCGGATTCTGATGAATGAGATAGGGCCGCCATATTTGGGGACTGCCAAAGTGGGCGAAAGCTGTATACGAAAAGAACAATAGACGAAATGTAAGTTTTATAGTCCAGTCGTGTACTTGTACTGTCGTTATTGTTGCATTTAGGTACATGATTTTAATATAAGTAAGTAGTATTTTTGCATGATTGTTTCGAAAGATTACATGGGTATTTATTATTCTGCACGGAATTACGGCAGAATTTGTTTTCTGAATTGTTAAAAAATACAAAATTGTGGGAAACAAGAAACACCATATTTAAACAATCATAACCTTAATCTCGAAGACGTAGAAAGACCGGGAGTGTTACAGTTAATAATAGCCTGACAAATCCTCTCGCCCCACCTAGGCTGGGAGAAAACAGTTATTTCATCCCTAGAAACAGTGCCAACAAGTCACATTTTTTACAATCTTAGTTTTAAAATAAATTAATAACAGAAAGACATTTCTTCACTCTGCATCTGAGAAAACACTTATTTTCGAATAAACACTGTTTATTTTCTATCTTGGACTTTATATTTTGGCCATCATCATCATCATCATCATCAGCCTATATGTGCCCACTGCTGAGCAAAGGCCTCTTCTCATACGGAGAAGGTTAGAGCATTAATCACCACGCTTGCTCAATGCGGGTTGGCGATTTCAAACTTATAATTTGAAATTATAAGTCCAGGTTTCCTCACGATGTTTTCCTTCACCGTATGTCAGTGGTGTCTAAATAATCATAGAAAGTACATATAACTTGGAAAAAGTCACATTGGTACTTGCCAGGTTTCGAACCCACACCCTCTTCTATATTTTGGCCAACCCTATTAAAATTACAAATGTAGAGTAATGAATACGCACCAAAAAAAATTATGTATTGAATATATTAACACCTACTAATATTACCAGTTCATTACAAACATTGACGGGGAGGAGTTGATTTGACAAAAAAAAATGGCAGTTTAATAATTATTTACAAATACCATGTACTTATAATGTACTTAGCCAGAATGCTAAAAGATCTAAAACAGATTTTGAACTTAAATACAAAACTATAAGGTTAAAACTGTTTCAAAGAATTTTGACAGAATGGTATAGGTTGATATGCTGACCTATATGTATTCTTTATAGTTAGAATAAAACTATTAAGAGCATTAATTTGATTTTAATAGTATTTTTAATCGGCTTTTACACTTCGAAATAAAAACTCATTGATTACTAAAACTAATTTCAATTCAGTGTAATTGAGACCACTTTTGAAGATAATATACAAAATTAGATACGTATTGAGTGTAATAATAAATTTTGTATTTTAATCTTTATTTAAATAAAAAACATTGCCCTACATTGCGGTTTTTCTCTTGCATCGCTTACAAACATAAATTTTCATATACACATCACACCCAGGCCCCGAACAACAATTCGTCGATCACTAAAGGCTATCCGCATCAACTGTACAATGTTATTTTCAGTTATATTTCCTGCCAAAAATAAATCCTTGCCGGGTTAAGCCCAATCAGACACCGCGGCCTCGGCCCAGAGCAGGAGAAGGAAGGAGGGCGTTTAGACAGTAAGAGTCTGACACTCTCTCTCGCCTAACCCTGGGTGGCAGAAGTCATTTCATGATTTTCCCCTGACAAAAAAAGGCAAAAATAAATCCAAAAAACATAATATTTTGCGAATAAACTAAAATTGTATGTCCATGGAAATTCGACACATAAAAATTTGTCATTCTCCAACCATCCGTCTCGGCTTCCAAGACACTTCCTGAGTATTAACATGACTAGTTTCCGCGTCTCGCATCGTTACATGGTCTCAATTTCACAGCAGCCATCCTTGAAAGTAAGTAATATTTATCGCTACGTTTGCTCCACAAGAATGCGACTACTTACTTCATTTCTTTTTAACCAACTTCCAAAAGGAACGGGTTTTTAGCCTTTAAGTTGTCCACAGTGCGTTTTACATAATTCATCTTTTTTATGAATCCTGTACCTATATAATATAGGGCCAGCCTTTAGGAACGTATTTAAATTAATTCCTTCTGAAAATTTATGATGACAACTACTAGTTTTTATTTTTAGGACTTGTCCACCTAAAATTAAAGATTTTTTAAGAGACTTGGCGGCAAGTGATGTTGTTAGTGACCAATCAACACCGCCCATGGACATCTAATTCCAGAACAATAATGGGTGCGTTGACGATATTCGGGAGTGAGGGTTTTGAGGATTAGGGAATAGGAATTTCGAGATAGGGAAAGGGGTAGGGGAAAATAGCCCACCAATAAAGTCACCTATACTGCGAAACAAGCGCTGCAGTTGACTTACGTCGGTTTTAAATATAAAAATATTGCTTTGTCAGAGGGGCCCTTCGTTAGAACACTTGGTCACATACAAAAAAAATTTTTATATTTGTATACTTAGGTTTATTTATTATGTTTTCGGCTTACTCACGGAATTATTTGACTAGGAACTCGACTTGTTTCCTAGTATCTTGTACGGATTGTCATACATTTTTCCTCGAAACACAGAGCTAAAATCATAACAAGCGAATAATAACCAGATAGGAGACAGGAATTGATCCTGCAACCTTGATATTAAATCTGCGAGTTAGCTGCGTAGTTTGAAACATCTTATAAGGAATCTAGATCGTATGGCCTGAGGCTTACATATTTTAGAGTGATACTTCCGATATGTAACTTGCATATTTTATACATCATTCATTATCTACATAACTGATAAATGGCTGGTGGCTGAGCAACCGGCTGCCGCGCAACGTATCGCGGGTTCGGTTCCCGCACGGAAGAGCTCTTTGTGTGATTTACAAATCCAGTGAGAGCGTGGACGTGATGAGCATGTAATTGTGTGTAAACGACACAGGGGAACATCCTACGTTGCAGCAGAGTTTTTTTTTTAAACAAACCTCCTTATATAATTTTTTTATGTAATAAGTCGGCAAACGAGCAGACGGATTACCTAATGGTAAGCAATCAGCGCCGCCCATAGACACCCGCAACGGAGGAGTTACGAGTGCCTTGCCGACCTTTTAGGGTCTAGGGATTTGGAGATTTAGGGATTGGGGAAGGATCCGGGAAGGGGAAGTATTGGGCTTCCGGTAACCTCACTCACACGGCGAAACACACGTTGTGGTTGTTTCACGCCCGTTTTCTGTGTGGCCGTGGTATAACTCCGGTCGAGCCGACCCATTTGTGCCGAAGCATGGCTCTGCCACACTTTGGACCGTGGACATTTCACCACATACTTGGCCTCAATTTAGGATTTGAGGATTGAGGATTTCGTTCTGTTCCATTGATTCATTAAAACAGACCTCTCGCTTAGCCACGCTAGTTTTCTGGTGTAGTGGCTATATATAAGGTATTTACAATTAAAATAAAATGCTCGTTTAAAAACATGTTCATAAATATGTACTTCCATTAAATTAATTGTCTACTAAATTTTACAGACTACATAATAATTACATAATATAATAGTAATGAAAAATGTATAAGCCATTAAATCTTTTTTGCCCTTAAGCAAAATTATCTTATAAACGGGTCCGAATCTATGCTTATCTTAATTGATCTTAAATGCACTAAATTGGTTAAGTGTGACTCGACTTTAGAGTGACGGGTTTTCATTTGATTAGATTTTTAACGTTCAGATTGATTTTAAGCTTAGTCATTAATAAGGTACCTAATAAAAATAATCATTGATAACTTTGTCATGGTGGAGGTTAAAGCATCCGCTTCTCAAAGTCAAATCATTCGTTTCAAAATGACCACTTTGGACACTTATGAATGTCAAACAAAAAAATAACAACTACAGCGTTGTGTTTCGTCGTGTGAGTGAGGTTACCGGAGGCCCAATCCTTCCTCTCCCCCAATCCCTAAATCTCCAAATCCCTAATCCCTAAAAGGTTGGCGACGCACTCGTAACTACTCCGTTGCGGGTGTGATTAGGTAATCATCAGGTAATCCGTCTGCTCGTTTGCCGACCTATTACATAAAAAAAATTTATATCAAAAAGCTCAACTTTGTGTGTGTTAGGTAGTATCTATGTCGATCTGTCTTGTAGTGAAGCTATTTGCTCGTTCCAAATCCTATGGATAAAAACGAGCAAGAAACTCCATGGTGGTTCCGTTGTGGTCCACCTTTAGTTATGCTGGCCAAGGCCAAGGCCAAGGGTTTTATTGCAAACCATCAGGTTATAGTCAGAATCTCGCCACTGCTCTGGAGAAATAATTTGATGAGCTTTTCATTTAAAAAGAAGGGTATACTTCCGAAATCTTATCAGCTTAGTTTGACTCTTATTTTGTCTAACATAGGATATTGACTTGAAAAACCTTTTACTGCAGAACCCTATTAATCGAAAATGCCATCGCAACTAACTGACATTTTCGGGCACGCTACCATAGCAGCGGTAAGACCCCTCTTTGAGGAGTGGCTTGAGAGACGCCACGGCGCCCTCACCTTCCGTCTGACGCAGGTGCTTACCGGGCACGGCAGCTTCGGTAGGTTCCTGTTTCGGATTCAGCGGGAGGAAACGCCCGAGTGTCGTCATTGTGAGGACCACCTAGAGGATACGGTGGAGCATACGGTAGCGGTATGCCCTGCCTGGGCTGAGCACCGCCGTATCCTCAGGGAAGTGATCGGCGGCGGCGACCTCTCGCGCCCGGCCTTAGTCGAGGCCATGGTGCGGAGTGAGAGGAACTGGGACGCCGTCTCCTCCTTTTGTGAAGCAGTCATGCTCGCAAAGAGAGAGGCGGCCCGCGTGAGGGAGCAATCCTCCTCCTCACGCCCCAGCAGCCGCAACTGGCGACACTACGGGCGTCGGGGATCGAGGGACGATCTCCGGCCACCGTAAGTACGGGCCTGCGGTCGGCGAGTAAGGGCAGCTCGCCGCCCGACCAGAACCAGGCCCGAGCGTACGGCGCGTAGCGTTCCGCGCGCGCCTCAAAGAGCCAATAGACCACCACAGACGGGGCCCTAAAGGGCTGATGTTCAGCCGGGGTTGCGGGGTAAGCGCAATAAGGTACCGCGACCTCGGCACAGAGCAGGAGAAGGAACAGGGGGGTTTTTAGTCAGTAAGAGTCTGACACTCCCTCCTGCCCGGCCCTGGGCGGGAGAAGTCATTTGATGATTTTCCCCTCACCAAAAAAAAAAAAAAAAAAAAAACTAACTGACATTTTGGCAGTACAAGTATATTTATATTCAGCTGCAAATGTAAATATGAATGGACCGGCAGTCCGGCGCCATTTGCATACAATAGGTTTTTATCAGAATAAAATATTTAAAATAAATACTTTAGCCGTTATTGGTTATCCGGAAGATTATCGGGAAGATAATCATGTATTAAAATAAATATACAAGTCTATATTTCCCGGAAATATTATATTGTACTTCTCTCGCGCGCTATTAAAAATGCACGCGCAAGGAATATTGTACCTATCTATCAGTGAAAGAATTTTAGAAATCCGACCAACGGTTCCATTGATTAACCCCTACCTACATACAAACTTACAAATTACAAATTTACCCCTTTTATAATAAACTACCTACTCTCGCGCGGTTTTACCCGCTGCAGCTCCATTTAACCGTAGCGTGATGTTTTATGGCCTGTAACGCTCAGGAAAATTGTAGCTATCTATCAGCAAAAGAATTTTGGAAATCCGACCAGCGACTCCAAAGTTTACAAATTCTATCTCTTTATAATATTAGTATTTACTTAGATTACATTCTTATTTGAAGCTGAAATTTGACAAATGTGGCTTGCTCTGAGTGGAGTGTCCGACTCTCTTTCTAAAAATACCCCACTCCTTCTCCTGCTCCAGGCCGGGGTCGTGGTATACTTATTATTATTTATATCCCGTATATATATTATAAACCACAACCCCGACTGCTTAACCCGCAACCCCAGTTGTATATTCTACTACACATTACCTAGTTGTCATCTTACCAGAGCCTTGGTTTCATTCACCTACTTACATAAGTGCACTATACAAAGTATCCGAAAAACCAGAAAATATGAACATAGACGATGTACTCCACGAGCTGATTGGCTCCTATTCTTCGTAGCGCAATGTTCTATAGTCTTTCCTAAGGAATGAACTAATCAACACTATTTTTTTGGGTGAAACAAATAGTTTCAGAGTCCACTCCGGGAAAAATATCTTTAAATGCTAAAGAAAATAATTTATTTTAATTAAAAAGTAAACTTTTTCTATCTTCAGTTTTTGTATGACATTCAAAAGTGCCTGTAAGGGTCTAATTGAAATCCGGGGTTGCGGGATAAGCGCAATGAGGCACCGCGACCTCGGCCCAGAGCAGGAGAAGGAACGGGGGGGTTTTAGTCTTTTAGTCAGTAAGAGTCTGCCACTCTCTCTCGCCTTACCTTGGGCGGGAGAAGTCATTGTATAATTTTCCCCTGACAAAAAAAAAGTCTAATTAAAATAAATGTTTTTTGACTTTTTATCTTTTGTGATACCTATGGGATACTTTTATTATCAGGATCAGATGCTTTTATTATTTAGGATTACTATCGTACTCACCCTCCATCAGTTTTCAGGAATCAATTTTACTATGTGGTCGTTTTATATGAAATGATATTAATTTAGTAACAAATTATATTACTTGATTAGATTGGTACATCGGCTACCCATCTTAAACACTAAAGGATACTAACATCTAGAAATAAACAACGCAACGTGGATAATTTTAGCAACATTTTTTTATTAATTTAAGAATTCCACAATGGAACAAATTTTTCATCAATACAATATCTAGACCTAAGCCAGATTGTAGGATATTGTGTTCGGGGTACTGCATGTTCGTTTAATTAATTATCAACTATTTTACGCAAATTTATAATTAGTGCACAAATGGACAATTATAATACCTGTATTAGAATCCTATAGCCTGCTTCGTTCGGTTTACAATGGGAAATAGTGAAAATAATGTATATAAATATAATTAGGTACATTAAGACGATGCAAACATTTGCACATTTGAAATATTACTTACATTTACAAAACTATTTCCCAAAGTATACGACTTACGTATATTGAGCATATTTATTCGATCGGTAAACGAGTTTAGATTTTCTCTTTTTTAGGCGCCTACAGTTTTTTTGTTAGCAATGATTTGGGATTGGGAGAAAATTTACTATACTTATTATTTAAGATTCTTTAATAAGAACTAAAAACACACATTTCTGCAATGAACAAAGAATCTAAAATCTTTAGTACAAGGTCCATGTTAATATTGTTTTGTTAACAGAACGTATCCGATCAGAATAAATATTCTCAATATAAACTTGAAAAGCTGAAGAACGCCCCAGAAACCCAATTATGTTAAAAAACCTTAAAATCTGGGTATTAAAATTTTAATATGCAAAATACGTAAGCATACATTAACCGTAAACAAGTAAGAATGTCTTAGATCAAAAACAAATTTGCTTAGTAGAAATATGTTGAGGCAATTCTTCAGCTAAAGCAAGACAAATTTACCGAAGCAAACATAACAGTTATTCACTACGATTACCACATAAATAACAAAATACGCCAAAATGTTTACCACACTAAAAAATTCGCTAGAACTCGGTAAATAAATTACCGTTTTACATTTACGCACAAATTAATTTACTAAATACCGGAGAGAGTCACGCGTCCCTCAAAGAGTAGTAATTAATTCGTATATGGCCTTTCAGATGGCCTTTTGAAGAACGCGAGCCTCGAAAACAAACAAGCGTCGCATGTGGTCTAACCATTTGCCAAACGTTACCCAATGTCGGAGACGATAGCACTTGCAGTAAGGGATCATCAGGATTCACGTAGCTCCGTCTCTGTCGCTCGCATGCAAGCAGGCGAGACCAAAGATGCTCCGGCTAACATACAATCCCCTACTACGAGATCGCTTAGTCATATACCATAGATATATTTATACATTATGATTAGTCTATGTACACTCAACCCGCACCGTTCTCCACTACACCAATCGCTACATTACCCTATAATACAGTACAAAAAAATGAAGTCAACTAATAAATTTCTAATGTAAAAATCACAAGTAGTGCTATTCTTACTGTTAAAGAATTATATATTCTTCCATATATATAAAAAAGTCGCTTAAAAAAATCACAGACAATCACGTTTTTTTTTTCTGACATAGACCACCAAACCGACGACCGTTTTTTTTTTCTTTAAGCATTACATCGCTACGTACAAAATCCTACTTAGTTTTACAACCATCTTGGTTTACAATCGATAAGTCACCGTTATAATAACGTTCTATTTTGACCACTTACTTAGATGTTGGCCGTATTGTGTACCCTCGCACTCGAATGATAAATATGCAACAGAATTAATGAAAATATACGAAAATGATATCAACGCCGCGTCGCCCTAACACCAACCATCAAATAATGCGGGCTGCTGTACATCATACATCATTTGTTTTGTACTTTCCACGTAATACCTACACTAAATTATTTTACTGATGCCCAAAAAATACAATTTTGGCAACGTTTACATAAAAAACGGATACCATTTATTTATTTATTTTCCGTAATTAATTTGTACTGGCAGTAACTCTTTAAGACTTCAGAAATTTGTACTTTAGTTCTTTTTGCAGACAAGAGTGCTCGTTGCTTTTTTTATATATTTTTTTTTTCTTTTTTTGCATATCAATTAGAGTTATATCTCGTACACTTACACAAAGATGACACCGAGAACATAGTTATAAGTGACACCGAGATTGACCTCATTCAACTTAACGAGATGAAAAAGTTAAATACATAATTATGAAATATAATGCTCTATTTACAGTCATGAATGACTATAATCATTTTATTTGAAACATCAAAATTAATCTGAATGCAAGATGACAATATATTAGAGCCAGAATATTATGAAAAGTGAATTAAATGGAATATAATTACTGGATGATCGACATCGTTTCCTCAAACCTAGCATCGCGTTAGAGTTCAATCACCTTTCCTTTCAGTCCGAGAAGTGATTTTATCCTAGTGAGGGAGTGAGCATAATTTTACAACTTACATTATATTTTAATGCGAAAGAACATTTTTTTTTCTTTACCAAATTCGTAGAGATCCCGAGGTACACCCGTGATCAATATAGTGCACCCTTAAAATATAAAAACATCCAATGAGTACTTAAATATTTCCTGTCCAGTTAAGTGCAACTATTTATGAATATTAGGTACTTAAATGTCAATTCCTTAAATAATGTACTTAAATATAGTATAATAAACATTAAACACGATGGACGGGTGTAACTTGTCGAAGTGAAACAAACTGGAAAACAATATTAAAATAAAGGAAATAAAAAACATAAACCAACAAAAAATAAAAAACAAAATAATAATTTTGTTACATTTTTTTAATTCGCAGAAACCTAACAAACAATAATTTCTCCATTTTTATTCTTTCGTCTCCTTAAAACATAGTAACATCTATGAAACACAAAAAAAGTAACTGGGAAAATTAATAATAATAAAAATTACGAATAAAAATTTATACTCCGGAGAGTGAAGGAAGGTACAATTAGATTACGTTGGTATTGACGTGTGACCGATCCCCCGCAAGTGTTGTGCTTACAAATGAGGTACATCAATGAGATTATTACAACTAGCCTAATTAACACTTACACACTAACTTAGACCGTCAACCCAGCTCGTCCCGAGCTCGCAGAGTCGCTGACACTCACTCGATGTATAATCCTCGTTTGAGCATGACACTGAGTTGAGAGCACTGACTACCTTGCAGAGATTCAAATAAACGCGTACATATTATCATCGATAGCATTCCAACTGAATTCCATCCTTATTTACATTTTTAAAACTATTTTCATAAATTCCAAAAATGTATTTAACCAGCATTTATCAAGAACAATTATTTAGAAATATAGTGACAAGATTTATAACATTAATTTATATATCATAAAATACATCTGTGGGAGTTATAGAATTTGACAATGACTATAGTTGAATCCCGAGGTAGTATATTTGTACTTTAAATTTTATTATTATTACGTTTTTTTTTTAATTTTCGACATAACTCTTAAAATCTAACATCTTATATTTTCCATCATATAAAAAATCTACTTAAAAGCTTACTTACGAACTAAATTACATCCTCGAGGTAGATAAACGTACATATTATAACTAGGAGGCTATGTAGAAAATTACATTCAAAGTTATACTTGATTTGTTATGTACAAGTATTCGGCGCTGGATGGGGCCGAGGCCGAGGCCTGAATGTAAGGTCACTACACAGCCCATGTGACGGCAGAGGGTCACCATACCCGTAACAATCTTTGGCTTTACCATCACGACATCTCGCGACTTTATGTACACAAAAGAGAAAAAAACTAATAGTAAACTAAAAAATAAATCCTACATACAAAACTCAAAACGGAACCAAATGATGTGCTTAAACTTAAATGCAAATTTGATCCAGCAATAATGCCTCACAGCAAGCAACTCAAGTTATAATTAACAATATTACACTCAAATTTGACTCAAAACTATATCTTATGCATCGCTCGCTTGAAGCTGTTGTATGGCGCATTGTTGGATCCAACCTTATTACTGAGCCCATAAAGATCTCACGGCTGTGATCTGTGTTATACACACGCCGTGGGATCCTCATGAGGCACCTTCTCTAAACCATTACCTTCTAACCAGAGCTACAGTCACATGAATGAGGGAGATCGGCCAAGTCCAATGAAAAAGGGATTGCAATACACCGACTAAATGTGAAATTTCCTATCACATCAAATATAACATTACAACTATTTAGGGACCACTAGTAAACTGTCCACTAATTAGCTTTAACAATGCGACAACTTAATTTAGACGTGTTATCCAATATCCCATATGTATACTGAATTTTGTACAATAATCACTTGAAATTAAATTATAATAATATTATAACAAACAATATTCCGGGACCACACAAACATGTTTCAGAATCAAAATTGACATGTGATGTTAATGTAATCTAAGTTTTGTACCTTATAAATTTAGAAAGAAGCAAATCCAATTATTGATTTCAAAATAACGAGCCCCTTGTGCCCACCGCTAACATTAGCAACCGTCCATACACATACTCATAATCCCTCCTTTTACTTAAACGAAAAAAGCTAAAAAAACGTGATGCATTAATGCAATTCTCTTTTACGTATCACAAAAAACATTAAATGTCAAAAGAAATCACAACTATGAATTTTGAATTCATAAGAGAAAATAAAAACGAAAAGACAAAAATAGAACAATATTTTTCCTCATCAATAATAATAATAAACACAAATGTTAACAATTTGCAATTGAAGTAGCAAAAAAGAACATGTTCTTAACAATAATACGCTTAATAAAGAATGCCGATAATTAAATGAAAGATAATAATTTTTATACAATAGTTACAAAGGATTCGGTCAACGTAAAGTATAAGTATGTGGTTCACTCCAATTCTCCTATAGACCGCTTCCACCTAGATGTTACTGAAGGCACTGCGTTCGTGGATGTTCAACGCAACAGAGCAAAAATACGTTATAGATCATTGTCCTATAAGGTTGCGGCACAGTGACACTTCGCGCTGCAGAGCATGCAACTTAAACTAATCGGTTCAACACCACCCTACCAAGTCCAAGAGAGGTCACAGACAAAAAAATAAAGCAACAAGTATTCATCTGTGCGATAATTTTCCAAAAAATCGACATTTGTTCCCCCGGGCCCTTCCCTCAAACAATTATTCATATTTTTTTGGATTTTAATAAAAATATTTTTATTTTTATTTCGGAACCACATCAGATATACACTCGCTCATTCACAATGCCCGTCTGAGAAATTTATACGTCAATCCGTTTGTCATTAGTCAAATCAAAATAATATTTTTATTGTATTTCATTTTTCTTAACATAATTTTATTTAAAAAATAAGCGAAGCCTGTGAACTCTTGCCACTTCTACTACCTTTCCATGACCCAACTTTGAATGATACAGAAATCAATACAGATTTACTCTTAATGTATTTGGCGAAATTCTTTACTATTAAGAAATAGAGATTTTCAATATAAATATCATTTAGTATAGTGTACAAATAGATTTAAAAATAGCCTGTCTATTCGGATATAAAAATATTCTGATATCCACTGTATATATAGCTTCTATTCGGTCTATTGATACTACTAGTAAAATCAATTCTATTCATATATCAAACAACATTAATTATTGAAAAGTGGTAGAACTACGGTAACGGATAAAATTTTCTATTTAAATATTTCGCTAACAAATGTAACTACTAATTCTATGTATTCCACTTGCACATTTATACTATCTATTTCAAATAAATATATATTCTCATTATATTATGACACACAGATACAATTTGTTAATATATGAATAGAACTTTTTTTGTATTTCATAACAAAAACGAGGTAACCATCCAAAGAGAACTAAAACGCAGTCTTACAAATGGTACTAAACAACAGAAACTAAATATTTAAAAAAAAGTCACTGAGCCTTTATAAATCATTCTCGTTATAAATATATTCAATAAAACGTGTATCCTAAAATATAAATATAATAATAAATATGAATGCAACTTATTCCTAAATATCAGGAATAATACACACAGTCGCTACATTCACACTTAACAAAAAATAAAATAAATAATACGATGTGAACTTAAACTTGAGGATATTTGGCACTGTACCATCTGCTTTATGTAACTAAACTATTTATTGCAGCCGAATGTAAACATATGAAGTATTACACTCGGGCGCCGCCGGCGGCAACTCAACAAAATATAATACAATGCCACCGACGGACGCCCCTACATTTATCATTTAAATAATTATTTTCTTTAAAAAAATCTCAACTGGTTGCACTTGAAATGACTAGGAATATAAAAGTAGTAAGTGGCCTTCATATAAATGCACTAAGACGAAAAAATCTTTATATAACGGAATGTTAAAATCGACACCATCCCATTGAAACATATAATTATTTGGTCTCAATAGTAACATCCGCCCAGGCGAGCCTGTTGCCGACGACACTGATGGATTTGCTTTACACATTCATGCATCGAACCTTACATGCAATTTTTTTAATAACACGTTTTTACCTAACTACTTATGTATCTAGGGCAAAATTGTACTTTGTACAAAACTAAAACCGTTCCTCATTCACTGTACAGTAAAAAACTGCTGAACCTCTACTTTTCCGTATTTTTTCGCACTTTTTCCCGTTATATTTCCTTATCGACAGTGTGGCAAATGTGAAAAAATAAACTATACAGCCTGCTTCCTATTGTATCACAGATATGTTGATTGCGTAACTAAAATCATATTTATCTAGTCTATTGTCATTATGTAAGTGTAATTAATAAAATAAAAATAAATGTAAAACAGAGGTAGTTTTGCCACAGAATGTCGGTATACGCGTGTTTCAACCTAGGCCAAGGCGGTTTACAACATTCTCCTATTATTTACATACACTTAGCCTATGACCATCAGTCTCAACAACATTTCTAAGATTCCCTAGCTCAGGTATTTCATATAAGCTATGTCATAACTCGACCGAGAGCACAAAATAAATCGTCTACAAAAGGTAACTTCTTCTCACAGTCAACTGGACATATTACTAAAGTTTGCAAAACAATATTAAAGGTACTTAAACGAAATGAGGGTGCAATAAAGGGTACGACATTTTACAAACATGTACCAGACAGAGACGAGTACTGAGCAACCATTCAAAGTCACACATGAATATTAAATTAAGTAACAATTATCGCACAATTTCAAAACCTTAAAAAATCTTAAGATCAAATTCTGAGGTAGATACTGATTACATAATATGCATCAACGAGGTATATTATTGTACGCGTGTTATACACAGTTTGAGACACGGCTCGGCCGACCATGAGTTGATAACATAGATACCGTCTTCGTAATCCAATCGTTAGCCGTCAGTTTATGGTAACGCATTCAGAGGTAGATAAAACAGTCGTCCGGGCCGGTCCTAAATAGCAGAGGTAGTTCGGTTGAAATAAGATTGAGAACAAAACTTCGTGGGTTCTTACTGCGTATGGTTATGGAGGGGGCCTTGGTTGGGGAGGTGAGGGGTGACCTGATGGCGATGCTCGCGTGCAATGTGGCGCCGCACGGTGTTGTTGCGTGTGAAGGTACGCGAGCAGTGGGGGCACGGCACCCGGATGCCCTGGTGCCGTTGCCTGATGTGGGCGCGCAGATTCGTCTCGTATCCGTAAAGTCTCTCGCAATATGGGCATTTCAGCTTTTTACCTGGAATTTTTATTGAGAAATTTTAATAACATGTGAACACTATTCTTGTTACTATGGATCTACTTTTACATATAGTCTGCGTAATTTGAACTCGTATTTCTCTCACCGTCAGCAGTAGCGATTCCACCAGACTTGCTTGTGAGCAGTTTGGTGGGCCAGGTATCGGGGCATGGTTTGGGCGGCACTGGCGACGTCTCCATGGGCTTATCGTGATAGTTAGCATTCGGTAGCGATGTCGCCGGTGGCGGAGAGTTGTTAAATCCTGGCGGCTGGTAGTCATTCTCACTCTTTATCCGTAAATCTAAAAAGAACAGAAAGTTTTCGTTATATCTATGTTCAAGTCTAGAGGTAGATTCAGAAATCAAATCTACACTACCTCACTACAAAAACATTCTACCTACTGCTGCTAAGCATGCATCCTGAAAAGCAGTGTATTGTTTGGCGAAGAATTTCACTCACCCACTGAAGGATACCAGGGATTCCCTACGGTTCCAAAAAGGTGATTAAGACGACGTACATTCGTCCGGTGTATGATTTATATCATAGCACCATCACCAACCATTCTTTCGCCATGCGTGGTGATTATGGAAGAATATGAGGATGAATGATAATGAAATTTATGAGATGAAAGTTAGCTGACAACTAGTCTTTGCAGCAGCCACAGATTGTGTCACCTTCAGCAGAGGATGTTAAATAGCTGACATGATAGCACGAAGTCTGCCGAAAGCTGTAAAGAATAGCGGCCAGCATGTTTTTGTTTGCACCTCTTCAAGAGGTTAGTTTTGGCCAATAAGCTCTGTTAGTACAAATATTGATATCCAATTAGTTCCCCTCTTCCAAATCATCACGCCAATACATAAGTTTCTAAAACCTACCTTCAGCACCTTGGTCATTGTTTAAGCGTTCAGGCATGTCGTCGTTGGCCGAAGCGCTGCGTTCGTATCCGTTGTTCTTGATGGGGTTGCCGTGGGTCGATGTGCAGTCAGGCGGGTTCTCTTCGTAGCGCGCACCAGCGCCGGGCGAGGAACGAGTATCGGGCTCGTCAGCGACGCTGCCGCAGTGCGAAGAAGATGAACTTTGCCTGGAATCAACAGCAGTTTCGGTTAAAAATCTGATTCAACAGCATATAAGCAACAGCATTACATTAACAGTTAAATATAAGACATTTCATTTATGATATGTATTTGTATGAATCAAGTTTGATAAAAATAAAAACAGAATTTTAATTTTATCATAAAATACTATTTAAAAAAAGAAAAACGCGATTTTAAATAGTTTAATAAGATTTAACTTATCGAAAAAAAGTAGTTCAATCAATTTAAGATTTATTTGATCAGGTTTAGCCTCGAAAGTGATATACCCCAGATATGCACATAATGCGATATTACACTGAACTATTAAATAAAAATGTTGTGTCCAAGGCTAAAACAATATTTGCATCGTAATTTGTATTATTTAACGAAGACAATGAATTCGATAAAATATTCCGTTTCTATGCTGCCTCAGTTGCATAAGTGAAACTGACTAACAAGATATAAGATTTATTTTTGTGAAAAACTATGAAATATTGTTGTGTTATGTCAAAAACGTGTAACAAAATATAATATAATATATGGCACAATCGAATCAAAAAACATTATAATATAATTATATAAATCATTATGTAGGTACGCCTATTTAGATAATAAGGACCCTTAATCACCGAGCTTGAATGAAAAGATGATATGACTTAATCGTGTTTTCATTTGGCGTTTTATTGTTTCTGTGTACTCTAATAGGAGACAGACGTGATATGCATGTATTTTTGTATCTAGCTTACTTCTTGTTGACACAGTTCACCATCTGATTTAGCACTCACCTGTAATTTCTTGCGTGTGGGCTTTGAGACGGAGACGGCTTGGGTGGCGCTGGTCTGCGGTGTCCACCAGCGTGGATAGGCAAGTGCGCCGGCGGGGCATACCGCCCCATTGTGCCGCTGCCATGAATCGGCATACCATACTGCGGCATGATCGGAGCAAACGTGGCTGTGTGTGAGGAGGGAGCAGCTGACTCCTGCACCTCACAGTTGCCTGACCCTGACACCGGACTGGTCTTTATGCGAGTCTGATGGCGGTCTCCAGAGTTCTGCTGGGTCTGTTGCTTGACCCAAGCATCCTGAGACATCTCCATCGACAGGCCTTTGACCTGGAAATATACAATTCTAAATTAGGACAGTTTTGCTTTTGAAGCAGCTGAATAAATTATCGTGTATTGACATGGTAATACAATTGACGTAAAGAGTAAATAGCATATGTGTTTATACTGTGTAACTTTGGCCATTGCGCATAAATTTCTTTAATAAATCTGAATTCTTAAGACAATAATATTTTTAAGATCTTGCTTCCGACTAAATAATAATAATAATTCCTTATGATTTCTTTTATCTTTTTATAACACTATTTTGCTGCACCAAGCGTAAGTCCCAAACCACAATCGTCGTACATTTTTGTTTACGTTTGACTAACCTGCAAATTCTCTCCACTCTTGAGGAAGCTAGAAAGCGCATCCTGACTGACATGCACCTCTCCTTTGTACATGAACTCGAGGAGAGCCTGCATGTTCTCAGCCGTAGTGGCTTCCAGAATGACGTAGCACGCGCCCACATGACTTGGGGGTGCTGAGTCAAATAACTCTTGGAAATGTTTGCTGCATGCTGCAAGGATCACCTTATGAGCTTTGAATTGGCGACCTGAAACAAGAAACAAGAATTTTATGAATTTTCTTGAAGCTAAGCCTGATATCTATATTTATATATTTAAATATATTATAGACCGTAAGTCCCAACCCACGCGATGCAATAAACAATAAACAAAAGTCAAGGTAAATGGTCCCAGAGCAATTCTGAGAAGCGTACGGGGGGAACGTCTTAACTACGTGTGTTATGGAACGGGTGTAGAATTTATTTTTGTTTTATATTGAGCTGAACAATAATTTACACATTCTACAAATACACACTTCAATCCCAGTCTAGTGATGATGCTGATCCAGTAAATTTATTGCTACAAAACAAAGAACGCTTAGGTAACTACAATTTCCAATACAGTGTTTTTTTTAATATCTCTATTTATGTCACAATACTATTCTGTACAAAGAAAAAATCCAGCATTTACAACTTTAGTTAACCTTGTCCTACTAGAAATAAATAGGTCAAACACGATAGTGGCATTCATAACCTAAACTTAATTAATCTGTATAGCTAAGTTATTTATAAAATTCCTCTAAAACGTGTTTGTTTGAACTTTGAATACAATACGTAAAATCAATTTTTCATTGTGTTAGAATTGAAAATATTTAACTAGGCCGCAGTTATCAAAAAAATCATATGATTCATTTGTTAGCGTGGTTAGGTTTAGTTTACTATTACGTTCATAGATGGCGTTACGGTTGCCATTTTTACTTTATCTTTCAAACTGAAATCCCAGTTTGTATGTATGTTTATTTTATTTTCTTCTCTGATATTAATTCTATCACCTCTATTATCACTAATTTAGAATATAGTAAAAAGTTTTTTAATTACAATTGTTTCAAGAAATTCTTTCAATAAAAGATTTCTATATTACCTAAATATTATTTCTTTGGAATGCCACAGGGTTTGCTATCGGGACCTTGTACGTTTTTGAAATGGTTCAGGTATATTATTATCTGTAGTTTCTATTGTATCGATATAGGCCAAACGTATCTGTCGGTCGCACTATAGATAGCCGGAGTACTTATACTATTACGTCACTACTCACGGAGCGCGGAACAAAATACGGTTAGCCTTGGACCCGCGGTCGTATGCGCAGCGGAAGGCCGGCCGCACGCACTACTATTACACGATCGATAGTAGTTTGTGGTCAAATTAACCTAGACTCCATTATTTTATTTTTATTGTTTTACCGTATTTATTGTGATTACAATGACGTTGCAGGTAACGACATATTAATATCAAGACTACGAAAATCGACGAATGAATTTTAATATAGAACTATCCTGCTATTTTCGGCTTCTCGCATAGGCGTTTTGATCAGCTAATAAAGTGGGAGGTTCAAATTAAATAGCATAATTGATTGGCATTTTGAGCTATATTCTGTGTATTTTAAGGCGTAACATTTACCTTCAATGACCGTTATAACATTTTACTAAGCATTTCGGTAGTTTAGAAACTATATGGTATTGGCAACGATATAGGCAGACCTAGCCGCAATACTTAGAACTTTTGGAAACCGAAAAAACAGCAATATTTTGAAGGCAAATGTTATTTACATTTTAAAACTACTCTACCCATAATATGATGTGAACTTAAATTAAAATTAAATTAAGTATAGAGAACGCATTTTGTGTTAAAATTTTCCTTTTTCCCTAAAATAGTTTAGTAGGGCCTTATTAAATTTATAAAAAAATATACAATAAATTAAGGCTTGAATAATAGTACACAATACATTTACCTTATACGCAATCCATGGCAAACATTTGAACGCACGATAGATTTTAATTAACACAGTAATTGGTCAATTGTCCCTCCAAGCAGAGCAAAATTAAAGCATTGTATCATTTTAATTTGTATAAAATAATAATAATAGTCGTAATAATAATTATTAAATATACTATCAAAAGGATAAGTTATTTTATACTCATTATAAGGGTTTTTCTAGTTATTATTACATTATATTATTTCGGTGTATGCTGATGTAATGATTTAAAATACTTATTTTATGAGTGTTGTAACGTTCCAAGTGTTATTTTTAACGCAAGTATGCAACCAGCCTATCGATGAGGCACAGCGTTGCACGGCCGTTTCGCTTCTACAAGCCCCGCCCACGGATTTATTTGAAATACTTCCTCGTTCTTAGATCGTTTTTGTTAGGCGTCTCTATTATTATTACTTCTCATATTATTAAAAAAAAAACATAGCAAAATGTGAAAAAATAAAATTACTTCTGTTAAAATGTTTAATAAAATCGTTAACAATAAGTTTTAAATCAATACGGATGCCGCTACGCCACTTAGTCATCCACGCCAAATCTAGATTACCTAGGTATACTACGAGTGCTACGAGATTTTTGCTACGAAGCTTCGTAGCGGATCGCTACGTTTTGAACATTTGAGCCGAATGAAGTAAAAAGCAGTTTCAATACATTTTCTTATCTCTTGTATAGAAACGTAACGCGGTTTTTTTTAATTCAGGTTTTTATCGTGTCAATTTTGTGTGCAGGCAGCGACAGAACACGTACTCAAGCCAATCTATTAATAGTCTATATAACTCAGTTGTAGAATATTAATGGCAAATCAAGATAATTGTGTGTATAGGCTCAAACTTAGCAAGCCTGTTACCAAATATAAATAAATTATTGAAAAACATCGCATTCTAAATAGTTTTTCTGGTAATAAAATTAATGATTCGATTATTTTAATAAATTATTTTTTTATTTGTTTCAACTTCAAATAATGTTATGAAGTGAAGATTAAAAATTTTACACAAATGTAAATTCATTCTCTTAGTATCTGAAGAGTTCCAAGAGTTAAATATTATAATTATACAATATCAGGAACCTGTAATTTACATCTTGATAATAATATAAACGCGAAAATTTGCAGAAGCTAGTATATAATAACATTACCTTCCTAACACGAAGTAAGCTCTAAATAATAGATAAGTACGGCAGCACTACGGAAAGTACGATCAATCTATTATTAATCCGTTTTATCTACATTAATCTAGTATCAGACAGGTGCCTTCAAGCCCTTCGTGATACACAACCAGATATATAATGTCATATTATACTATAAAGAATAAAAAAATAATAGTACACATTCACCTATTAAAAACCAATATAACATGGTCTCGCTTTGTATGACTTTACCTCAGATTCCACAGTTAATTTTTATTGGGTTTTCATCTACAGGTACAACTAAAAGTTACTCTTAGTAACAACCGTATTTCTTAATAATAAGATTGGTTTTCATATGGCAAAAATATTTGAAGTGAACTTCCAGGGTCGTAGGCTGAATGCTTTAAAATATTTGTCCATTTCTGCTTTGTCACAGATAGAGTATGACACGTCACTTTTGGCGCCAAATTAACGCTACGCATTCCGTAATCAATCATTTAATTTATTGATAATGTGCAGATAGATTAAAATTGGCTATTGCTGTATTGTTTTAATCGATATTTTAATCTATGATTCAGGTATTTATTATGAAAGCCCTATTGCTTTTTGAGGAAAATTGTTGTATATTAATACGAATACGATTAGGCCTCCTTACTAGTATATTGCAAAATAACCAACACAATATTACGTTATATAAGACTAATGTGAAACTGTAAATCTTATATGTGTATACTTAAAAATATCTATTTGTATGTATATCTGTGTAATGTATGTAAATTGACGGATCATATCTTAAACGCATTACAAGCCACTCAACCTTGAAGAGGCTTGTATGGATCGCACATGAAAAAATACGTAAAATTTAAATATCGAATGTTAGAATAGTGAATGAGTATGGATAATGAATGAAATAAGAAAACAATACAACATCATACTTATTTTCTTCGAAGTAGGCAGAGTTATTGTCACAGTATATACAGTTTACAATTCTTTATTTGTTTATAAGTGGTATGAGCGAACTCTAGAGAAAAAAAAAGAAGACATAATTTTAGGCTCCTTAAAAACGAATATACCACAATAAAACTAAAACTTAAACGTCCTTGAAAACATTAAAACAATATCAATTAACTGTAAAAAAAATATTTCTGTACCAATAAATCCGTGGGAAACGATTAACCTTGAAAATTAAGATAATTTAAAGAAAAAACCGTAATTGATAGAGGGCCGCGTGAACTCAATTATCTCATTGAATAATTATTATTTTGGGCCTTCCTACGATCCAATTTTTTATCGGAATGTCCACGATTATGTAAAACTCTTTTAATAAACATACATATAATATTTCGAGACATTTATTTATTTATTCTTTATATACAATTGCATATCGGTGAACTTAATGCTAGAAGCATTTTCTGCCAGTCAACCTTTTGGTAGTGCAGAGATGTGTGGTAGGTGATATACAGCAATTTAGCAAGTTACGTGAGGTGGAGGTGGAAATCAATTCAAAGTTGTGTACATAAAAATAATATATACAGTTATAAATATATGTATTTAGCTTCCTTTATTCACTATGATACTTGATTGGTAAAAGAAATTGACCCTAAAACTGAACATTTTGTTCTGATTTATTTTTAATGACTATTTATCTCTCTTTCGTTAGACGTGAAAAGTAGGTTAAAATTTTATAAATGCCTCTTATCAAAACATTCCATTCTATTTTCTGAGCCATCAGTGAGCAGTATGATAGTGCCATAAGTCACTGCAGTTTCACAACGCGCATGCGCCCACTGTTGCGTCTGCGCAGACCGCCGCGGTTTAACGAGGAAATGAGCGAACGACATTGGTCGCTCGCGCAGCTTGCAACACAACTGACATTGGCCCCATTTCGGGACCTACAAACGCTTATCAAGCATGTGTGCATGCTACGGACGCTATATAATACGTTATGATAATTCTGATTTAGATTTCTGTGCCAAATAAGCCCATTTAAAAATATAAAGGTAGTACGAAGGCTGGACAAATATTCCATTGAAAATTATTTTCAGATATTCGTAGCGAGGTTGTGAATGAAACAAATTTAAATGCTGAAAATATGTTT